AGGGTGGTCGCGTTAGTGACGTATACTGCGCGCCGAGTGCCGGCCGGGACAGATATAAACACATAAACATGGCCTCTCACTAGTATCTTTCAACCACCTACAACATGGCAAACTGGACGGATGCGGAGACCATGGAGCTTTTGGTCGTGCGAGCGGACGAACAGATTAGTCGCCTTTTTACGGGGACGGTGAGAGACAACCAGCTGCTCGACAGAGTGGTGATAACACTGGCTGAGCGGGGCGTCAAGCGGAACAAATAACAGGTCACATCAAAGCTAAAGGTCCTGAAAAATAAATTTCATCAGTCTGACGTGTCTTCCGTCTGACGCTGAATGCCCCTGTACATCACATGCAAGGGGGGGGGGGGGGGGGGCGACCTCCCTTTATCCCGTTTCGGTTTGAGAGGTGCCTGATGGCAGTTTATTCTAGCTTCAGCTTTGCTACTATAAATGCCAAAATCCTCCCCAGGGAGCCGCGGCAAATCCTGTTTTGCAAACGCAATGGTCCTGTAAAAACAGCTTACCAGAAACCATTCCTCCACAACCTGACTTCTAGTACCACCCGGTGCTTCTGCCTCCTAATAAATACTCATAGGATGTAACTGTTTCTATTCAGGTGGTAGAAAAATCTAATCACCTCTGTAGTGAAGAGCTGTATATTTCTGTGGCAAACTGTTATCTCATATAATTCACAAGATTGAATTAAATTCTTGCAAAATAGCTGAAACCAGCAGCGGTCCCATCATTGATCACCTCAGATATCACGGTGTGCTAACACTTGGCTAATCTGTACAATCCTGTGGTTCTTTTTGGTGAAAGGGGAAGCAGAACTTTGGGTCGGAACTATTGATCTGATGGTGTGTTCTGTTGGGTTAGAACCATAAATGTTGTCTGTGTGTTCCATTTAGAACCTCTGATTTCTGTTGAAATGGTTTTATGAAACAATCAACAGGATTGGTGTTTCTAAAGCCAGGGTTCTGCTGCGCTTTTGTCTCCGACTGAAATTTCCACCGGATCTCTGCTGGAAGTCTGTGGAACGTTTCCTTTGACCCGCCAGTTGAATTACTGCAACCCAGCTGTGTTTGTTTAGTCAGAACTCCACTGCTGTTTATGTGTTTCTGGTTTTGTAATGAGTCCAGTGTGTGCTGGTAGCACGTCTCCATCTGTTGACATTTAGAGTCAGACAACTAGGAGTTCTGGGAGCGTCTCCTCTCTCAGCTTCCAGACGATAATTTTCACTGGACTAAATGAGCTGCAGCTGGAAGAACACCGCCCCTCTGAGGAAAATAGTCGACCCATGCTGGTTTCCAACAGAAACCTGAGGAAACCAAATGTGGACCCAATGTGGACTAAATTCTGAATCCTCTATTTGTTTTAGAAAGTTTCCTATTTCTAACTGATTGAAGTCAAATCAATCAGAACAACAAAATAAATCAAAGAAGTTATGTTAAAGCTATCTGCGAAGAGAGCAAAATAAAGATCAAACCAAGTTAGTTTTGTTTATTTTAGGAGGTGAAATCTGTTTTCGGTAGAACAGACGGTTCATGTTTCACGCAATCCTGGACTCAAGACAGAGAGACTCCGGAAGCATTCAAGAGATCTGTCGAGGCTTCAGGGAGCAGATACAACTCAACTCATAACTAATATAAATAATAGCTAATCAAAGTTCAGCAGAAAGATGCACAAACTAAAAGTCATCATAGGACAAAGCTGATCCAGATGTTTCTCTGACATGATCATCACTCTGCTAGTTTTAGCTTTGTTTTTTCACCATCCTCTGTTACTCTGCTGAAGGTTAGAAGGTTAGTTGGCACTAAACCCTGGTGTACTCAAGTTTCTACAGATCTCTGTCCATAAGAGACATAGTGGGCATGCTGGGAAGCTGTTAATTACATGGAAATAATTCACATCAGAGAGGTATGGTGAACAAGTAATCATATCCATGTGTTGCTGCTACATGGGTTGAAATTCATGCATGAGCAAAATGGAGCAGTACAACAACTTTAGTCTTATTAAAGGGTATAGATGGGCAGTGACAAGAGAGCCTGGATTTAGAGACCCAGAGCATTTTCTGGACCAACATGAGACTGACACATTTTTATGAAGTTCTTTTCACAAAATTGGTCTCACAGAATGCAATCTCAGCAGCTTTATTCTTAAAATTTATAGTACATTGCAGAAGGAGCTGTTTCAGGGCTCTGTCACTTTAAAGGAAACATGTTTTTGCTGAACACGCCCACCTACTTGCTGCTCAGACTGGTATAAGCTGAGGAGCTTGGATATCTGAGAGGGGCTCAGAGTAGAACTAGAGGTTCTCCGGTGTCGACAAGTGAGGGGTGGTTCTATTTTGTTTTTCCTTGTTGTGACATCACAATATGGGATTTTTTAAAGAGCAAGTCACCCTTTATCAGAGTCTTACTCCACTCCCACTTCCTGTTTGAAAAATGCAACAAATGCTGATCCTTAACAGACCGAGAGGGCGGAGCCGCTAACACACACACAGGCTCACAATGGCACTGTGGCATCATATGGTACCAGTTTACATCATAGGGTTCTTTTTAGCTAGTAGTGAAGGCAGATTTAAATTCAAATGCAGTGCAGAATTTTCACCTGAAGAGGGCGCAACACTGACAGTTTTAGGCAGAAATTTTAAATTTTAACTAAGATGCAGTAATGTGCCAAATTATTGACTACATGTGTCTTCCGCATGGTTTAGACACTCATTTATATAGTTTATCAGCAAAAAAAAAGTTGATTAAGGGGGGACTTGCTCTTTAAAACGGCTCATTTTAGGCAAATAAATCCTGAAACCACTTCCAGAAAATGGATGGGCAGTTTTATTCATGTTTAGAGTTTTTATAGAGTTAGTAGAGAATCACATGGCTACACAAAAGGATGCCAAAAGTGAGTTTTGCAGAATTTTTACCTATAAGGTTTCCAAGGACAATTCTGATTAAATTGTGCTCACAGCTGTAGCAAGCCTGAGTGCTTCGTTGTGAGGATCTTCCAGCTGCTGAAGTCACTGGGTTTTAAACATCAGGAGCATTTCTAAGGAGCTGGTAGACCAACACTGTCTTGAGGTGTCCTAACTGGTTCTACGTCAGGGTAGAAAACTCCCTTCCCTGAGGTCTGGTACCCAACATGTATTAGTTGTCACCCTGCTACAACACACCTGATTTGAATCAGCAGGTGATTAACAGCTTCTGCAGAGCTTAATGAGCTGCTGAACTGGCAAATCAACTGTGTTGGAGCAGGGAAACAACTAAAACATGCTGGACACCGGCCCTTGGAAGGGAGTTGTCTTCCCCCGTTCTATTCATTCAGGTTAACAGAACAGCTGGTTTAGGATGGGAATTAATTTAATTATTTAATTAACTCTTCTTCATGCTTCTTCCCAGTTAAATTTACCCTTCATTTTAATTCATGGTGTACAGTTTTTTTATTTTCAACTCTTAGGTCACGAGCAGTTGTGTAAGGCATTTCACTGCATTTCGTACTGTGTATGAATGTGTATGTGACAAATAAAAATTTGAATTTGAATTTGCTTCCAAACATCATCCTGTCTTCAGAGCATCTTTACTAGTCAGTGATTCAAGTTAAAATGTTTTCTGTTTTTTCTGATTAAATTACAGTTTCTACCAAGTCTTTGAGTGTCTCAGTGTGTTTAGTGTAGTGTAGTTATGTCAACAAACCTTCAAGCAATTCCTGCAAAGTCACTCTTTCACTAAGCTGCTCAGACAGTGTTGCCTCTGACACGTTTTCATGTCCTTCACCTCTTTGTCCTGATCCAGAGGATCTTCTGTATCTCTTCTAGATGTGTCTCCAGCCTGAGTGTCTCTTTATTACGGAGTGTAAAGGCATGAGTTCTGATCGACAGAGAGGAGAATCTAATCACAACTGCAGAACACACAGTGGCGTCTATTAGCATTTGTAAATAGGGTGGTGTTGAGGAGAGGAGGGTCAATTCCACAGTAATTGAGACACACAAAGGAAATGTACTTAGATTAATGAACAAGAACGGTTTGATTCATCTGGATTTATTTCAGTGTACACAATCATGTAGTAGGAAATTCACATGGGTCTTTGGAAATGAGCTCCTCTCAGTTTTTGGTTGGGAATGGGTTGTCCATGTTTTTGTGTGGATATGAAGGCCATGGTGTTTATTATTGTTTTAAACTTGTCTATTTTGTAGTGAACAGGAACCCCTTCGCCTGCCCCAGGAGTTTCTTCTGGCTGCAGATTCTTCTTCTCTCAGAGGAAACGATTTTTATGAGACCAGACATTGGTCCAGTTTTATTGTGGAAACCTCTGCCAGAAGTGGTGGAGTCTGCATGCATCATTGCAGCTCCAGGTTTCCAAAACAGACCTCCACCCAGCAAATCCTTGAAGTGCTGAGTTTCTGATTTGGGATTGCAGAGCCACAAGCTACCGGATCTGTGTTGGTTTTGATGGTTGGCTGATCCTCAAGTCTACCAGCTGGAGGATTTATTGGGACAGGCTATGGGAACCAGACGTTGGTTCCTGTGGATATTCTGTGTGTGGCTTCTGGTCCAGTCCTCTGAACAGAGGCAAGCTGTGCTTTGGCAAAGTACCGTAGCCATTTACAGCCGAGGGTTGTGGGTTTCTCCAGATCCAACTCTGAGAAAAGTTACTAGACCATCTGATGTAACCAGAGCCAGGCAGGTGCCACCATGTGTTGCTGACAGACTGAACTTAGATCCAGGTGAAGCTGACACAACGTTGTCACTGATTCTTCTGAGAAAAAAATACACAAAAAAGCGAGCGACTTTCAGATGAGGAGTCTCCAAAAACACTGTTGAGTCCTCGTGTCGGAAAGTTTCCTGATGTCCAAACATGTCTTGAAAATGTCTTCACGTGGCCTGATGTGTCCTTGACAGGTCCAGATGTGTCCAAACTTGTCCTGTCATGGCCTTGTTTGCCTTAACATGTGCTAATGTGACCTGATGTATCCTCTTGTGGCTCTGTGCACCTCCACTGCAGGGTGATCACCTATGAATGCTGTCCAGGTTATGAGAGGATTCCTGGAGACAAAGGCTGTCCTGCTGGTAGGTTATTTGACCTCTGGACCAGAGAGGTTCTGGTGTTTATAGTTACTCAGGACATCTGCATAATGACTGGCGTGTGTCTTTCTGCAGCATTGCCTCTGGTGAACATCTACAACACCCTGGGCGTGGTCGGAGCTTCCACAACTCAGATGTACTCTGAACGAGCCAATCTGAGAGAGGAGATTGAAGGTCCAGGAAGCTTTACTTTCTTTGCCCCAAGCAACGATGCGTGGGCAGCCCTCCCTGCTGTCAGTACAACTACACACATTGGGACACATAGCTGTGCTGTGTCAATTTGTACTCAAACTGACGTGTCACTTTGGTGCAGGAGATCCTGGACGCTCTGGTGAGCAACGTGAACATCGAGCTGCTGAACGCGCTCCACTATCACATGGTGAACAGTCGGCTGACCTCTGAGGAGCTGAAGCACGGGTCCTCCTTCCCCTCCATGTACCAGGACTCACAAGTCCACATTCACCACTACAGCAATGGGGTGACTGAGCACGCTCTGGAACACACACACAGGAACAGTATTGAACCGGGTTTTTATCAGATCAGTCACATGATCTCCTCATCTTTTAGATTGTGACAGTGAACTGTGCACGTCTCATCAAACCTGACCAACACTCCACCAACGGCATCGTGCACGTCATCGACCGAGTTATTACGGCCGTCTCAAATGACATGCAGACCGTCATTGATGTAGATGATGACCTGGAGACGCTACGTGTGAGTAAACTATTCAACCAGTCAGTAAATGGTGAATGATCTGGAATAAAAGAGCAGTTTTCCATTCTTACTGACCACTCAAAGCTCTTCACATTCACCCACTCACGCAGTCACACCCCTAATACACTTTGGTCAGTCAGTCAACTAGTCAGCTAGTTAGTCAACCAACCAACCAGTCAGAAAATTCTGCCGACATCAGATCAAGACTCTAGTTTTGTGTTAATTCTTTTACGACTTGGTCAGTTCTACACCAACCCTCCTGGCTTCCTGTCTCTGTGTTCCAGACGGCCTTCGCCGCTGCAGGTCTGACTACCTTGCTGGAGAGTGAGGGTCAGTACACCATCTTTGCTCCCACCAATGACGCCTTTCAGAAGATTCCTCAGGAGACTCTGAGCAGAATCCTGGGAGATCCCTTGGCTCTGAAAGGTGAGTGTCTGAGATCTATCACACGATCTATGAGCTAATCGAACCGCTGAAGTTCACCTGTCTCTGCCCCCTCAGACTTGCTGAACTACCACATTCTGAAGCAACTGCATTGTGCTGAGTCGATCGTGTCAGGGACCTCAATGGAGACCCTGCAGGGCACTTCGCTGGAGGTCGGCTGTGACGGAGACCAGATGACTCTGAACGGGAAGGCCATTGTCACCAAGAAGGACCAGCTGGGAACCAATGGAGTCATCCATTACATTAATGAGCTGCTTATTCCAGACTCCGGTAGTGTTTTCACTGTGTTGGGATGAATGTGGTGATTTAAACCCCTCTTTTGAGCTAAATGAGGCTAGGGCTGATAGATTTGTGTGTAGGCTGGGGCTGAGAGTAGTCCTGGTCTATATTTCTGTTCAGTAGAGCAGCTTGTCCAAAGTAAGACAAATGCTTGCATTATGTTCTGAAAACATTTCAGTCAGAATATTTGAAACTCACATGATCTGTTAACTTGTTTGTGTCTGAAGCTAAAACTCTACTGGAGCTGGCTGAGGGCTCGTCTGTTTCCACGGTTACCAAGTTGTTTGTTGATGCTGGTCTCTCCTCCCACCTGACGGGGTCAGAGGCTCTAACTATGTTGGCTCCTCTGAATGACGCCTTCAAAGGTAAACCTGACCTTCACAAATAAACAGGACCCAGGTGTGTTCATTGCTTCCACCTGTGTTCGTCTCCAGCAGGAAGCATGACTATGACTCCCAATCTGAGGAAGCTGATGGCCAATCACATCCTGAAGGAGCAGCTGTCCTCAAAGTCCCTGTACCACGGTCAGGAGCTGGAGACGCTGGGCGGCCTCCGGCTGAGAGTCTTCGTCTACAGAAATGTAAGAATGCTGAAGGTCTGGACCACCAAGCTGCTTTATGAGTCCATCCATTTGTCTATTTGACCCACTATGGAGCAAAGGTTGGTACAGAGAATGGATCTGATTTAGTCTGACTCAGTCTGGTCCAGTGCAGCTCCTGATTCAACTCCTGTTTTAAGTTGATGGTGTGATCCAGTATTTGTTGTAACGGTATTTAAAAACAGCTGAGTTAATCCTAGAGGTGATGGAGATGGGCCGGCACCAGATTCAGCTGATGGGTGCCTGAGACCGCATTTCTGCTCACCAAATTAGACATTAATCCTTGTTTGGTCCATTTATTTTGATTCTGCTGATGCTCACCAGTGTTTCCTGTTTAGAACTTGTGCATCGAGAACGCCTGCATTGCTGCCAATGACAGGACCGGCCGTTTTGCCTCCATGTTTACCGTGGACAAAGTCCTCACACCTCCCATGGGGACAGTCATGGATGTCCTGAAGGCTGATGAGCGCTTCAGGTGAGTACCTTCAGACAGGTGACCAGCTTTGGTTACATGCTGCCCCCTACAGCTTCAGCAGTAATGTTCAGAGATACTTTTGTTTGGTCCAAGTGCCCAATCAGTCATCCCATCAATTGATCAAAACTTATTTCACCAGGATAAGCCTTTTTGAGATTAAAACCATCAATACATAAAATCACAGCACAATGTAATTAAAAATATTTAAAATGCCATCAATAAAGAGCTCAAACAGAACACCACCAATCAGATGAGTTCACTCCACACCTTAGGAGAAGCACATTTAAACACTTAAAATTTTCATTTTAATTCTTACTTTTGGGACAGAGAGTCAATAGAAATCACCTGACCTGAGGTACAATCTCCAGAAACCTTGTGTTTACTGGTCTGGAGATATGAAGGAAGAAGTTCTATTCAGACACAATTTCAACTATTAACACAAATTCAATCAATACTCAAAAACTTTGTCTAGTTGTACAATTTTTACCATTCAGTCCAGCTTTTCCTAAGTGGTGCCCATCACCTAAACCCCCCCAGCTTAGTTTACGGTTCACATTCACAGGGATCATTCCACCAAGTATCCCAACATAGTCTTCTACTAAATTCCCAAATAATAATGTTCTTCATCATGTGCAATATTGGTTGAATAAACTGAATCACCTGCTTCCAGCCTGCTGGTCGGAGCCATCCAGACTGCAGGCATGACGGAGCTACTCAACCAGCAGGGTTCGCTTACCTTCTTCGCTCCCACCAATGAAGCCTTCAGCAAGCTGCCACAGGCTGAGCTCAACAGCTTGTTGCGTGAGTTTTGAAATGAACAGAACCCACACCAGGTGCCAAGCTGAATTATTTCAGAATAATCCTTAGTTTTTTTAGTTTTAATAAAACACTGTTTATGATATTACCAGAGTTTAACTTATTTCTAAAGTTTCTGTGAAAAATTCTTCAATAATCAGAATCTTTTCTGAACCTTGAGCTGTCTAGATGTGCTGTTTAACATCAGAAAGTTTTCTGAACTCTTGTTCCAGATATTTTCAGATGAAGAACCTGAGTCTGTGATGCCACAGCTGACAAGAACAGGTTCTTCACAGAAGCATGGAAACATCCTACCCAGTACTTAACCCTCATCTGATTAATGTGATGGTTATCGCTTCATTTTCACAAACAACTTTTAATCTGAAGAAGAAGAAGAAGAAAATATCATTTCTATAGCGCCTCAAGATAAAAATCACGAGGCGCTTCACAAAAACAAAAAATGTAAAAATATAGAAAATAATTTAGAAAATGGTTAAAAATATATTTAAAATGAGCAAAAAGTAGACAATTGTGATCACAAAAATGTTAAGAAAGAGAGAGAGTGAATAGGAAAGAGGGAAATCAGTGGATCCTAAGGAAGGTGGAATAGGTGGGGAGAGCAGAATAAAGAGAGAGTGGTGAAGAAGGTCATACAAAAGCCAGCTTGAACAAGTGAGTCTTCAGCTGCTTTTTGACGGAGACCACTGAGTCCACTGATCTCAGGCTCAGGGGGAGAGAGTTCCAGAGTCTGGGGGCCACAGCAGCAGATGATCTGTCACCTTTGGTCTTTAGCCTGGTGCTGCACAACCAGTAGGCTTTGATCACTGGACCTCAGGGACCTGCTGGGGGTGTAGGGACTAAGAAGATCACCAATGTAAGATGGTGCTTGTCCATGTAAGGCCCTATAGACCAGAACCAGGATCTTGAAATGAACCCTGAAGTTGACTGGCAGCCAGTGAAGCTGGAGGAGAAGCGGGGTGATGTGGGTGTATTTGGAGGACTTGGTCAGAAGCCGAGCACAGGCATTCTGAACCACCTGTAGACGGTTCAGGGAGGTTCTGCTCAGACACGTGAAAAGAGAGTTACAGTAGTCTAAGCGTGAGGAGATAAAGGTGTGGAGAACTGTCTCAAGTTCAGAGTGGGACAGAATGGAACTCAGCTTAGCAATGTTCCTGAGATGGAAGAAGGAAGAGCGAACAAGAGAACTGACATAAGAATCCAGGGTGAGAGCTGGGTCAAAGGTCACGCCAAGATTCCTGATGGAAGGTTTGGTGTGAGAAGCAAGCTGACCAAGAGAGTCTCTGACTTTGGGAACCAGCTTGTCTGGGGCACAGATGAGGATCTCAGTCTTATCTTCATTCAGCTGAAGAAAGCTCCCAGCCATCCAGGTTTTGATAGAGTCTAAGCAGGTGTGTAACAGCTGCAGCTTAGACATCTCATGGGGCTTAAAGGAGATGTACAGTTGGATGTCATCTGCATAAAGATGGTAGGAGATTCCTTTGAAGGAGCTCAGGATGTGCTGAAGAGGAAGCAGGTAGTGGAGGAAGAGCAGAGGCCCCAGCACAGAACCTTGTGGGACACCATGGGTAAGGGGCAAGACACACGGGAGGCGACAAACGACCGCGATCAGTGAAATTCGTCGCTGTCGCTTTTATTACCTGACACACGGGAGGCGACCCGCGGCCAGCAGCAAAGTCGTCTATTCCATGGCGAAATTGAAACTTCCGTTGTTTTGTTTGGCTGTGTCACGTTGGAGGGAATTAAGGATATTTAAGCGGTTCAGAGTTTAAAAAGTGGTAGATATTATGTTGCACAAGGTGCTGTTAGAGTTATGTGAAATCTTACTTGTGATTTTACTATATAAAACATAATAATAATCAACTTCTCCTTCATGTTTGCTCAGAGATGTACGGAGCATCCTGCCTGCTCATTGGTCAGTGAATGAAACCTCCGTTGATTGGTCCTCGTCCGAACGACAGCGATGAAAAGTTGAAAATATTTCAACTTTCTGGGATCGCATCACTGGGTCACCTGTGCACGACACGCGCACGAGTGCAAAATTTCACACGCACGTTTTTTGCGTTTCGCTTGGTCGGAGGGAGGCCCGCGATTATCACTTTGTCGCTCATGTCTCATTGAAAATGAATGGAGGAGAGGCGATGTCGCCTCCCGTGTGTCGAGCCCATAAGGGAGATGGTGGAGAACCTAAACTTGGAGACGGCCACAGAAAAGGAACGCTCAGAAAGATAAGACGAGAACCACTCTGAAGCTTTGCAGTGACATGATTGGTCTGAACATTTGTCAGTCACGTAAAGTAACATAAAATCATGAAATATCAGCAGATCAATCACAGCAATAGATTACAAAGCCGAAGCAGACTTAGCCTTGGTCCTTTTATATGGCCTGGTCAGATTAAAACTATATTTTTGTTTAAATTAAAAGCTATTTTATATGCTGAAGCAAAGGACTGTGATGTGTAATCTATCGGCTTTGGTGCAGACGAGTGTGAAGTTTATTTTGTGTGAAGAGTCTGCTGCTCCTTGTTTGGTCTGAATAACACAAACTGTTTATGTGACTGGAAACTTTCTGCTTTATGTCCTAAAGACCTGTTGCTACTGACACACACCCTGAGTTCAGACCCAAACCTGAGCAGCCCGCAATTAGTAATGATTAGCAGACAGAATCAGTCTGAGGTTCAGTACTGGTAACATTCCAGGTGAAACATGTTTTGCTGGAACTTTCTTTTAACAGTTTGATAACCAATCAGCTCTCATTCGGTGGCTGGACCGAGATAAGATCTGACACCGGTTTCTGTTAACAGGTAGCCCTAGCGAGTTGTCAGGCGTGCTCAAGTACCATCTGGGGGAAGGAATGTTGGTCAGTGGGGGGGTCGGCTCTTACACTCGTCTAAAACCTCTGCAGGGGGAGAAACTGGATCTGGGTGTGGTCAGTGGTCATCTTACTCCTTATTAGTTCACACTCAAATAACTCTCCCAATTGTCAATAAGGTGTGTGTGTGTGTGTGTGTGTGTGTGTGTGTGTGTGTGTGTGTGTGTGTGTGTGTGTGTGTGTGTGTGTGTGTGTGTGTTTGCCTGTGCATGACAGCGTAACCTCACCATCTACATCAACAAGGTTCCTGTGGTTGACGCAGACCTGATGGCGACGAATGGAGTTGTTCATGCAGTCAACAGCATCATCAAACCTCAGCGTGAGTCCCATCTTTGTTATTGTTTTTCTGTTTGTACTTCAGTAAGAATCAGTAAGAATTTTACAGTCACACAATCACAAAAGAGTCTAATGTCTCAATCATGTTGGAAGGGAGGTTACATTGAAACAGTTTTTCTTCTCAGCCGGCTGGAGGGTTGTCAGTTTTTCTCCTTTTAAAAAGGCCAAAGAGAAGCATAGTCAGTGAGCCTGCAGGGTTGCCAAATCCGCACCGCCAAATGCCTCAGTGCCTGCATTTGTACTTTGACACTGGCTGGCAAAGTTCAGCACCGTTCTGGAAAGATCCTAAGCCAGTAACGGGAGTGACCCAGAGGTTATTTCTGGATCTGCATTCATTTACTTCAGTTTTGATACTAAAAATATGAGACTGAAGTGTAGTAAAAGCTCTAATTACCAACGTAAATACTTTTGAAGGGCCTGAAGTCTTCCAGGTGTTTCCTAGTGAGGTGTGTGACGCTGATGGTAACATTATCAGGATTTGAGGCTTATGAGGGTGGTTTCTGGCCCTGGAGGAGATTCTGATGAAGTTACAGAGAAGGTAGCTGCTCCATACCAGCAGGAGACCATATCAACACCTTCAGATGTTACTTTTGGGTGTAAACTGAGTTTGACAAGAACTGCGTCGGACTGTTTGTTTTCTGTCAGTCTGTGTACTTCTGCTCTCTTGTGACCTTATCTACCCCATCCCCTCCCCCTATCTCCTGATGTTTTGCTGCGTGTATCTTGCAGCCCTGAAGATTGACCTGGAACAGGCTGATGGCCCTGCAGCTGCTGTCAGATCCGCTGCTACAACTGCGGTGAGAAAACAAACAAAATATCTTCACAAAGGGGAAATGTTAGAAAACAAATTCCTGGCTCAATTGCATCTGATTGTTTAGTCAGCAGGGGGCGGCAGAGTCACATTAGTCTCACTCACATGAATAGAGGAACATGTTGAGGTCAGGACGTTGAAGCTGCTTATTGAGGTCTCCATGAAAACAATTTACAACTATTCTGATTAGCTAGCTGACTCCAGGTCAGTAATGTGACCCAGAAGTTGAGGTTTTCTCATGTTTGCAGGACACTAGCAAGTTCAGTCTTTACCCCAACAGGCTTTCATGTACATAAACAATTCTGACCAAGCTTTGGAGGAGTCCTTCAGTATAAAAATAAGTTAGTCTAGAGTGGGCTTCTGGTAATTAAGTCTACAATTAGTTTTCTTTGTGTTTGTTGATGTTCATGGCAAGGCCGCATATTTGTTTATCACGTTTCATAACAGAGGCAATTCATTCGATGTGCTTTCCATTAGCGAGAATAGCATGAACATTAAAATCAATGTGACAGCACAATTAAAATACACAAATAAATTTAGACCTCATTAAATACACATTAATTTCAGATTGAAGAATCAGACAAAAGACAAAGTTAAAGGGGGAGCAGTTACAGGGCAGAAAGTGCAGCATTAGAAACATTTATTCAACAGCTGATGGATACATGAAAGTTTTCTATTGTGATTTAAAAGTTACTAGAGTTGGGGCACATTTGAGGTCATACTCCTATTTTGGAATGCGGCTACTGCTATCCTTGCCCATAGCCTTGTCATTTCTCATAGATCTCTGCAGTAAACCCCTCCAGAAACTACAGCTTTTTGCCAGAATGCTGCAGCATGCATTATTCAGATTCAGAGTCCTTTATTAATGACCACACAACAAGTTGGTGGAATTAGTAATCCGTACAGCATGGCATGCTCACATCTCTGTGTCTTCACACAACAACCAACGTCCAGTGGTGGGTACAGATAGACATTTTCAGTTAGACACTTGATTTAACGAATGTACTGTTGGGGAGAAACTGTTCCTGAATCTAACTGATTTGGTTGGTGGGGAACTGTAACGTCTTCCAGAAGGCAGCAATATAAACAGGTGGAATACAGAAGGGAAGGATCAGAGTTGATTTTTTCTGCCCGTTGTGTAAATATAACAAGTCAGGGTATGACCTGTAATTATTTATCGAGTAATTTTGGATGATTTATCTATAATACATTGTAGTTTTTTCCGTGATTGTGAGTCCAAATTACCATACCAGACAATTGTGGATGAGGAGAGTGTACCTTGAATAATGGCGGTGTAAAACTAAAGCAGGATAGGTGTCTAAGGAACAATAGATGTTTATTTGCTTTTTTGTAAATTTGTTCTGCATGCTGTAATAAGCTGGAGTAAGAATTAACTCCTCTAAATCTGAGACCATGATCTTGAGTCAGAAAAGGATAGAAGGCCTTTGCATCTATAGGATGCCTCCTGGACGCCTCCCTGGTGAGGTTTTCTGGGCAGATCCAACTGGGAGAAGACTTAAAGGAAGGCGCAGGACACGCTGGAGGGACTATGTCTCACGGCTAGCCAGGGAACACCTTGGGGTTCCCCAAAGGAGCTGGCCTAAGTGGCTGGGTAGAGGGACGTCTGAGCCTCTGCTTAGGCTACTGCCCCCGTGACGTGACCCCAGAAAAGCAGAAGAAAGTGGATGGATGGCTTTTTTAGTTTTTTTCTGCCTCTTTGTACAGGGGTCTTAGGTTGTTTTGAAATTTGCTTTTCAAATAAAATGAATTATTAACTGTTTTTGTATCCTTGATTAAGTAATGTGGTAACTAATTAGAAAATAAACCCATCAGTGGGAATGACTGTCACATAATTCATCATTGTTACAGTCAGTTGTGACACACTGTCTTTAGTTTAGAATAAAAACATGTTGAGTTAGTTTATACCTGAGAAAGGGTAAAGGTGCTCTACTGAGAACTGAGCTGAAGGACATTGATGGATTTGTTAAAGTTAGAGAACAAAAGTAAAAAGTAAAATCTAATGTTGGATCCGAAGCTGCCTGAAATAACTAAGGATCAATCCATCAGTGATGAGGAAGGTTTCTATAGGCTTCTACTCCTGCTTTGACTACTGTGATTCAGAGAAAATGGCTTCATGAGATGACCGTGCCAGTATAATAGCTCAAAAGTGCTCCTATGAACACTGCTACGATAAACTAGAACCAGACTTATGTGATGCTTCTGAAGACCATTTGAATTCTGGGAATTTACTAGAGTTGTACTGACTTTTGCCAAAAAAAGTAGACCTAGGGCTTCTGGAGACGTGTCATTGTTTGAATTATAATATAATGGCCAAATGTCTTGATAATAGTGTCCTTAAAGGACCTGCTTCATGCTATTTTACACCCTCCTGAGTAACAATGAGCATAAAATCTGATTAAAATATTGCTGTTGGCACAAATGTCAAGGGTTGTGGACTCCATAAAATGACAACAGTGCCCAAATTGCCAGATTTGCCTAATTATTGCACACTTTCTGTAAACCCTATCAACTTTGTTTCCCTTCTCAAATATCACTGTGTGTGTCTCCTATATGATATATTTAACTGAATGTTTTTATCATAACCAACGATTTATACAGGAAAATCATGAAGGCTGCCTAAACTTTTTCACCCCACTGTATTAACTATTCACTAAGAAACTAGTCAGAGTGAAGGTATGTTGCTATGGGAATGTGATGCAGCCCAGCAGCTAGTCCTACCAGCTGGCCTACAGTGGTGACAAAATGGGTTGAAGGTTTCAATTTGGGGGAAAGTGATTTCCAGGAAAAAATGGGGAGTGATCAGTGGAACCAGTCTGAGTTTGGGTCCAGTTGTTGTAGGCTCCCATACTACAGAACCGGTTTACAGTTTTACACCGGGGGTACGTGGGCTGGAGGACTTTCTCCTATTTGGAACATTCTTCCTTCAAACTGGACCCAAGTGACGGAGATCATTGGTTTAGTAAAGGTCAAGGGTCTCCTGGTTTTCCCTCTTTCCACTTTAATACTCTTTCATACTCCTCTTCAGTCTGACTGTCTTCCCTCTGTCTTCCAGGTGGACACCAGGAGCTTCAGGAATGGTATGTTACCTTCAGTTTTAGAACTAAGACCTGTTCTGCTTCTAGTTGTGATTCATTTTCTATTTCACAGACGATTTGTTCCAGAAGGTCTTGAGGAGTCGTTCCAGCAGAACAATGAGCAGGAGTCAGTAAAGAGGAGAAGGGTGGTGAAGAAGAGTCCTGAGCAATCCTGAAAGATGGCCACAACTAGATTAGAACTTCCAGTGTTCTGAAACTCAAACTGTTTTGTGACATCACACTTTAACTTCTGTAAAATGTTTATATAGTGACGTCCTTCATTGTGTCAGCAGGTTGGGATTGAAACCTTCAATTTGTAAAATAAATCTGAGTGCTCTTCAACGTGCGTCATCTTTGTGTTGCTGACCTTGACCCCGCTTTCAATGCACTGAATGCCTCACAAGACTGAAAGCAGCACAGAGTTTTACACGGAGTAGGGTCATGTCTCTTTCATCTGAAAGCGTTAAAAAAAATTTATCTGGATGATGAAAGTGAGTGAGTGAAAGATTAGCCTGAAGCCCTTTAGGATCAGACTCTGGAGGTTCATTCATTCATCTTCTGAATCACTGCGTTTGGTGGAGGGCTCCCATGCAAGTTTCCAGTCCATCAATGGGAGACGTAGACAAACGAGGTCGGCAACCATTCACACTCCCACTTAGTAACAACTTAGAGTCACCAATGAGGCATGGCATGTTTTTAGCCTGTGGGAGGAAGCTGGACTCCCACTAGAAACACGACACGTGCATTTGGGAGAACACGCACACTCCTCACACAGAAAGGCCACAGCTACCTGTAACACCCTTGCTGCAAGGTAATAGTGCCTCATCAAACAGACCCTGTTGTGATTTGACTTTTTAAAACTTTATATTTTTTTTACTTTTAAATCCACTTTGATCCACTTTGGTTATGTGTAATAAATGCTTTATTGGGCTGATCTGGGTCAAATATTAATAGTGGATCATCTAGGAGGACCTAGTGGTGTAATGGATCATCCAGAGGGACCAGGCGGCATTAATGTAACTGCTGTTTTACATTTTAGAGGTCAAATGAGTTTTTCTCAGGTTTTATCTCAGCTGCTCTTTTGTTAGTTCCTGTTCAGATATCAAAAAATAAACTGATATACTGATGGCTGGAAGAGTATTTTAATTTTACCTATTTAAAATAAGTTTTTAGAAACACCTGTGAGCAAAACTATGGTGTACAATAGCACTAAAGTTCTAGCTGCACGATCCATTAGACCAACTTTTGATTTGAGTGATGAGAGGGGTTTAACTTCTAACCTTTCATTTACATATTTGAAACTAATGCAACACAAAGGAAAACCAGCAGCTGAAATATTCTGCACTAATTCTGAGGGTTTGGAAAAAGGTGTGAGTGTGTGTGTAAGGATTTAACCCGGGTGAGTTTCACATGTGACACACCTAAACAGGCTGCGCCCTCACTGCGGACCAGAAGAGCGTTGGAGCCTTCACTCGTGACCGTGAGCCAGTTTTGTTCACGGAAATGAAACCCACCTCACTCATGACAAGAACGCCCTCGTTTAGACTTGCCGCTGAACAAACCATGGAACAAACACGTGACACGTCAAAAGATTGACACCCGGCAGCCACGCCCCTTCAACATAGTCGGCCTCGGCCAAGACCCCGGAAAAAAGAGAAACAAACTTGCCTTCAAAATAAAAGCTCAGAGACTCAATGGTATTCACAGATTAGATGGAAGTCTAAAACAAGACTCGAAGTATTTCTGTTTAATTCTGATAGAAATTCTCATGATGAAAACTAGAACGTGTAAATGTTTTTAAACTTTCTAAAAAACATACCCTACTTTGAAATGTAAATATTTAAGGGTAAATGAGTGTTCTTGATGAGAAAGTTTTTCTGTCGCTTATTTTAAGATGAGCTGGCAGCTGCTGACTTGTTTTAAGATAGTTATTTTTCAACCTTCACTGGAAGTGTGATGTTTAACACAGAGATCATCATTAAAGTGTCATATGGGATGCAATCACTTAAAGGTCTTATTCTAAAGTCTGAGGTCAGCTAATTTTAGACTTTTGCTAATGTTCAGTTTGAATCATGCGTCTTATCCTGGGTGTTCACCAGTGATGTCCAAATGAAGCTTTCTGTCTGATTGTTTTGTTTTATCCATGTTGTTAGTTTATCTTCAGATCATTGACTCATTATTTATTAAACAAATGCCGTGGAACATGTGAACTTCAGTGTCACTTTACTACAACACACTGCCCATATTACCACTACAACTAACACTACTGCTTTAACTGCCAACACTGCTTCTACTACTACAAACATCAACAAATACCTTCCTAATCATTCATCCATTCACTGATTATTCCTGTTCAGGAATAACTGGTTGATTGTAACATAATCTCAGTTATTAACCATTGTTTATCAGGCTATAATGAAGCCTTTGATAAGAGGGGCAGTAGCAGGGAGGACCAGACTTCTCTCTCCCCAGCCACTTGGGCCAGCTCCTCTGGGGGAATCCCAAAGTGTTCCCTGGCCAGCTGAGAAACTCAAGTCCCTCCAGTGTGTCCAGGGTCTTCTTCAGGTCTCCTCCTGGTTGGACTGCTCAGAAAACCTCACTAGGGAGGCGTCCAGGATGCATCCTAACCAGATGCCCAACCCACCTCAACTGGCTCCTCTCGATGTGGAGGAGCAGCAGGTCTACTCAACCAAAAAACTGCAGCTTATTCAGAATTCTGCTGCTAGAGTCTTAACAAGAACCAAAAAAACATCACTCCTGTTCAAATCTTTACACTGGTTACCAGTAAACTACAGAATCAACTTCAAAGTGCTTTTCTAGTCTATAAATCTCTCAATGGTGTGGGGTCAAAGTACATGTTGGATCTCCTTCCAGTATATAGCAGCAGGGCTCTCAGACCCTTATTGGTAAACAATCAGCTGGTAGAACCCCGGGTCAGAACCAAACAGGGTGAAGCTGCTTTTAGTCACTAGCTGCACACAGATGAAATCAGCTTACTCATAACCTCAAATGTGCCCAAACTCCAGTAACTATTAAATCTAAATTAAAAACCTTCATGTATTCATCAGCCTTTGAATAAATGTTTCTTTGACTCTGCCTTTTATCTGTTTTTTTATCAGGAATTATTATCTACATTTCTTTGTTTGATTTATTGTGTTTGCTGTTCTTGCTTCTGTAAAGAACTTTGAATTGCCTTTGTGTTTGAAATATGCTATACAAATAAAGCTGCCTTGCCTTTCCTACTCCAAGCCCCTCCCAAATGTTTGAGCTTCTCAAATAAAGAAAATAATCTTTTATATAGCCCTTCTCAAGATAAAAATCACAAGGTGCTTCACAAGAACAGTACATTTAAAATATAAAAAAGGTTTTGAAAATAAAAGGATTAAAAGATGTGGTTAAAATGGAAAAAAATAATGTGATAAAAATGTAAGCAAAGAGAAAGAGGGAAATCAGTGGATCCTGGGAAAGGCAGAGTTGGTTGAAAGTGCAGAATGAGAGGGTGGTGATAAAGGTCACATAAAACCAGCTTGAACAGGTGAGGTTTCAGATGATTTTTGAAGGAGACCACTGAGTCCACTGATCTCAGGCTCAGGGGGAGAGAGGTCCAGAGTCTGGGGGCCACAGCAGCAAATGATCTATCACCTTATTATCATGGAGAGCCCATAGATAGACACCCTGCAGAGAAAACTCATTTTGGCCGCTTGTACCTGTGATCTCATTATTTCGGCCTCCTTCACTTGTGGTAGGACCTCATCTCTGATGTGATGAAGGCTTAAAAAAAAGCTAGAAGCCAATCGATTTAAATAGAATATAACTGATTGTTCTAAAATAAAATGTTTTATTTTATTTTAATTACCTTAAAAGACTCAAAGTCTCTTTTTACACTTTATATTTATTTAATCAGGATCGTTGTCAAGTCGACGCCAGAAACGATGAAACACAACTTGAATATCAGATGAACAACAAGGCTTTATTCAACCGGCATTCATACAAGTTATCAATCATGAACGAAACATTTCTCTTACCGTTGCTTATGGGTGGAGAGCTGAACACCCCAGTTAGAAAATGTAATCCATGAACCTCGTCAGGTAGAATCCAACAAGCAGCTCTAACAGCTCTGAGCTCTGCTCTGCTCCTTATACATTCCCTGATGTGCGTGCAAAGCTGCACACCTCCACCAGGATTACCTTGATTACATCCTCATGATCACATTATGTTCGGCTCTCCTTGATTACATCCTCATGATAAGTGTGATTGACAAACAGTAGTGATCAATAACTTGTATAAAGCAATTATACAACAGATGACAAGTTCATTTTTATTACATTCCACTCTTGAACTTTTCATCTAATTTATGTAACATATCCATCACCATTTCCCCATCAAAACCAACGTCATTTATAACATACCTTGTAGTTCCACTTTAATTTTCATCGTAGTCTTTGCATTATTACCCAATTTATTTCTCTTCTTAATCGAATAACATACCAACAAATAATAAGATTACACAATGTTAGAATGCTGATTATAATTAATGCTGCAATCATAGGTGGAATTAGCACTTTATTAGCGGTACTCGACATGCCTGTAAATATATCCCACCAATGGTGAGCGGAAGCCTGTTCAATCAATGTAGCAACATGTTTTATTTCCCCTTGTGTCACAAGAGTAGACACCATGAGCCTGGAAAGGTTGGACCTATGAGAGTCAATCAATTTTGCCACTTCAGTGGAACCATCCAATGCGCATTTGAATCGTTCCAGTGAGAGTGTCCAAGGGGAGTGTAAAACCTCCCATTGTATCTTAGTCAGCCGACTAGATACAGTGTAATTACTCAACCAATAGGTCACGTTATTCCATTCCCACATATGTATACCCTTGAGACAACCTGAAAAGGGAACTGAAGGTACCTGTGGGGAATTGGTCATTGTAGCCACGCATAAGGTGTTAGGACCCACCTGCCAAAACTGTTCCTCTGGGGGTGTGACCGTCCAATCACAGAGTACGACCCTTGAATCAGTGAAACATGGATTGCTATGTCCTTTTACCAATGGGCAGGCTAAACCCTTATCAGTCTCATCACAGTGTTTTACTTCATATGTTCGATTTGTTTTAACATCCCACCACTCTCCACTAACATGGAGATACCAAAACCCTTTAGTGGTTATCACCGGCAGTATCTGATATCTACACACAGTCATTACTGATGTCATATTATACTGATCCCAGTATCCAGTACACATAGATTTATTACAAATCGTCATTTCTGCATGTAGCTGTAGCCATAATGAACTACTGATGTTCCATAATGTTCGCCATGCATGATAGTTATTACTCATTAC